AACCAAGAAAAAAAAGGGTCAAATATCGGAGAGAGGTGATTTGAGTATTACCAGTTCTTGAAATTTCTGACCATGAATTGGTGAAATGCCAGCTTGAAGTGGCGTCTGCTATTGAATGGTTGTAAGAGTGACTGATGAAAATGCCATCTAATATCTCGGTGACTTGGATGGAGAAATGAGGGATTGAGTGTCCATCACGGGAATTTGCATCATTTAGAGGGAAGAAAGATTTTAGAGAGGAGGGAACATTTAGAACTAATTTGCATCATTTAGAGGGAAGAAAGATTTTAAAGAGGAGGGAACATTGGTAGAACTAATGATATCAGACAATGTCACTTCTTTTGCAGATGCGACTATAACATCAAGACCTTGGTCATTACAGTCTAGGAGAATGGATAGCGAAGGTGGCATTGTGTCATGATAGAAAGTGGAGAGACAACCGGCTACGGGAAAGAAAAGGTTTAGGCATCGAGAAAGAGAGGTTTTCAAGCGAGAGATGATGATCTCCAGAGGGATAGTGGGTTTAGGGAAGAGCATACCATCTGAGGTTATTCGACGAATGGATAAATAAGATCCCATGGAGTTAGATGGACAACAGTCTGATGCACTTTTGCTCCTCTTGATTCTTTGATGGATGAATATGGTTGAATATAAGCAGATTTCGATAAATAGAGGAGAGACCCACATAATTTTCTTTTACTCTCTAACATTTTGGCTCTCTAGAGCTTCAAATAAAAGAGGATTAGGGGACTGCTTTCTTGCCTGAAAGATGGTAGCAACAAGTCTATTATTATTTAAATGAAAGTTCAAAAATCTGAATGTACGAGAATAAAAGTAAAAAGAATAAGAGGAAAATAGAACCTATAAATACATGAATGTTAATTTTAGTCTAAACTGGAAAGTTCATGCTTCTTGAAAGATATATTATAACTCACCTTCTCTTAAAGGATTCATGGTGACTTGTCAGGTAGCCTTGTTGGGTACAAGGAACCTAAAATATTATCAATATAAAGCATTAGATTTATTGTTGACGATATAAAAGCATGAATTTATTGTTGGTGATATGCTCAATTGGTGATTACTAGATTTTTATATGTAACTGAGAATTAAAAATCACATTCAGGCACGTTGGATTCTACCTTAGAAGAGACATACTCCTTGGATATATTCAGTTGATCATCCTATGTCGATGGCCAAAAGGAGAATGCATATATACGAAGCAATTTTGGTGCGTACTTAGTTTAACCATAGCATGATGAAAATCATGAATCAAATAGGTAGCATACCAGAACCTAGATGGGATGATTTATGGTTATTGAAAATTCAGCACTTTTAATTTGCTTTAATATAGGTATCAAATAGGTTTGTTTTTGCAGATAGAACCCCCTTGAGTGAGCATTTTTTCTTTTATTCTCAAGGGAGTCTATTTAGTCAAAAAAAATAGCTCTTCCTGACAATAAAAGAGCAAAAAAATTCATTTAGGCGTATATCCGCAAAAATTAAAGCTAAAGGGGTAACTACTTGAAACTACGATATTGTAAGGGGTTTATATGCAAATATAAACCAAAAACTAACTAATGGTACTAAATCTTCCCTTTTCAGGATAACAAAATATGATATATCAACAAAAGTACATGGCAGAGCTTTGATTTGTTAGAATCTAAGATGCAAGCCTAGAGAGGGCATGAATAAGAATACCTACCATTTTCCGACTTTAAAAATATTTTAGTGGAAATAAAAATAATTGTAAGCAAAATAGTAAGCAAGGCAAACACTAAGAATATTACAACGGTTCAAGTAAACAATCCAACATCTTGTCTTCTTTCTTGTCAAAGGGGCTCCAATACTATGAAGAAAAGTTCACTTGAATCACGAACCTAATTCAACATACTTACAAGACCAAACTAGTTGTAAAACCTCGTAATTTTTGGATATATTATGATAAATAATAATAAATGAGTTATATCGTAATGAATATCATTTATTAATGGTTATGTATGCTAGAAATCGATTTGAGATCGATTCAATGTATAGATGTGAGTAAACGAGTGTAAACATGCACAGGTACAGTCGGCTGAAAATAGCCTCTGGAAGGTCGACCGATGCTATGGCATCAGTTGACCGATGACCATTGACCGGTCAACTGATGCCTAAGCATCGGTCGACCGACGGGCTTCCAGAATTCGTGCAGGTTTCATATACGGGTCGGTCTTGGTTTCGATTCGGTTCTAGTTGTACATATAAGTATATAAACTCATTGTGAACCTTTTTCCTGGATCTTTACATGATTTATCAGTAGCCACTTCCCCTATCAAAACCCTAACCCTAATTTGTTAGTTTTGAGAGAGTTCGTGAGGCGTTTATCAAGAGGAGGGCGGGATTCACGATCTTGGTGAAGGAGAATCTTGCACGCACGTGTTTGGGAGTTCAACATGACGTTTGAGGCAAGATCATCTTCCTCCAAACCTATCCTCAGTAAAAGTTTATGTTTTTAAAGTATTAATTGATTAATCTAATGCTTAAAGCTAAATCTGATGTGGTAAAACCTAGTTTAGGATATTAAATCTTAAACCAATGAAAAGATCTACAGTTTTAAATCTATGTTGAATTAGTTTGGATGATCATGATCATAGGGTTGCTTTAATTTGTTAATTTTGTTTTAATTTGGATTAAAACCCTAGTTAACCAATTTAAATGGAAATTTTGTTAATTAAGATGTTTAAACCCTAAGTTTATAATACCTAGGTAATGTGATCTTGTTTAAAATAATCTATAATTGTGTAATTGTCAGAATTAATCATGTTTTATTAATCATGATAATGAAAATATGTTTTTGAGTAAAAACGCAACACATAGAACCTAGGAAAAGCTTGTATCCGTGTAATCGGTCGACCGATCCTTATGGAACAGTCGACTGATTGTGTCGTCAAGGATTTTTTGAATCCTTTCTGCTCGGTCGACTAGCTAAGACCAATCGGTCGATCGATAGGGTCTTTTTCGAGTGCACTTTGTGCACGTTAGCCGTCGGTCGACTGATGCCCTAGATGCATTTGACCAACACTTGTTTTCTTTTGTGTAAGGTGATTTTCTTGCACGCTTAATCATGAACACGGGATTCGAGCCGTACGATGACACACATGCAATCATGGGTGTACATGAATAGAGTTGTAACACACACGGATATCCAGAAGAGGATTATTACAGGTATTGTTTCGATCATGTTTAGGAAACAATTAATCAAAATAGTATATATGCATGTATGGATATCGTTGAGGAGAACAACTCAGTACTACTTGTGGTATTGCATCGATATGCCGTTATAGCAGGCTGTTGAGCTGTATTTGTAGGATACCTGATTTGGTAGTCCATTCCGCTTGGTGATGCGATAAGGCTAGTGAGCCGTATACATATATAAGATGCCTGGTTTGGTAGTCTATTCCGCACGGTGATGCGATGACACTAGTAAGCTGCAAACATATATAGGATGCCTGATTAGGTAGTCCGTTCTGCATGCTAATGCGATGAATTATAAAATTTTACGAGGAATTGTATCGTAATATATCTCATAGCCTAAGTCTTTGGCAAAAGCCATTTATGAGCATGATTCATCGTTGAGTTATATTATGACCGGGTACTTCATATTTGTGGGTTACACATGATTTTGTACTTATATCCATATTGTCTGCCCAAGGGTAGCGCGAGATGTATGGTCGACATTATGATATTGTTTGTAAAGGTACTTTCTTGTATTACTTTCCTTTATTATTTATTCTTAATTTGGAATTGATATTTAGCAATTCACAAATTGAGACACATAGTATATATACGAGGTTTCCTTATTTAGATTATTTCGCTCGACGTACCAGTCTCGTGTTATGGATTTCTAAATATTAATCCCAATTAGTACAAGGTAAATGATTTAGGTAGACTATGTATAATACGTAGAGCCTCCATCATATTTAGTAACCCTTCCTCTGGGGGAGGATGGAGATGATCTTGCTAACGCTCTGACACTGTTGATTTCCCCTCTTTTCAGGCAGCAGATCAGAGTTTTGGAGAGTCGCAGGTTGACGGACTTTCAGCATAGTCGCCGTCACTTATTTTTAGCAGTTGATGCTCAACAGTCATTTATTTATGATTTTAGTTGATCATTAGACTTGTATTTCATTTTGGGAAGGATGAGTGATTTAGTTTGCTTTTATTTGACTCTATATATTAAAATACTTAACATTTATTTTAGACGTCAGTTGTACTTCGTATTCATTCAGTTTGGGACATGATTATATTTATTGGATAACTCTTTCTAAACCATGTTCATTGCATTATTACTCTTATTTTGCCTGTTTTGTACCTACACATATTGTTGATTCCACTAGAGAGATTTTTTTGTGATGGTAAAATGTGTTATTGCACAGTGTGTGTGCATGGTATGTTTGATATCTTTGGGTTCATTATGGACTACAGCCTTGTGTGAAATTAGGGGCGTCACAGTTGGTATCAAAGCCTTAGTTCCAGCATCCTTAGGGTCATTCTTGTGTCGAGTTGTGGAGCTAGGATAGAGTTTCCTTGGTTTTATATATAGAGTCTGCTAGAAATTCTTAGATTGAGTGAGGACGATATATATATAACGTGAAAATTATAAATTTTTTTATGACTATCTTACTTTCATTATAAAGTATTTGCATGAATGATATATGATACATATTTCTTATTGTTATGTGTTATATATGCTTATGCTTGAGGCTTCATCTACAGTGTCTTATAAGCTCTCAACTTGAAATTTATAGATAGCCGGACGTGGATGTGGACATGGTCGGAGAGGATCCAATACTCAGAGAGCTAGGCAAGATGAACCAGAGGCTGAGCTACAGCAGGCTCCACCCGAGCCACAGCAAGCTCTACCCGAGTCGCAGCATGCTCCGCAATAACTGATTGGCCTCATAGCACCTATTGCAGCCAAGCTAGCAGCGCTCGAGGAGCAAGTGGCGAATCACATTCCACCAACTAAAACCATCACCCATGATTCCACCACCAGTCATACCAGCTATACCTCTAGTAGAGGAATCCCCAGAGGTTACTCCACGAGTTACACCACCACCAGCCATTGATAGGACCATAGAGCAGGAGACTTGGCTCCGTTTAGTGGAGAGAAACTAGAAGATGAGGGCACCAGAGTTCCAGGGATCATCAGAATCACTTGTAGCCCACAAGTGGAAAAGAAGATGTGGGAAATATTCTTGATCTACTTGATGTCAATTCCGTGCAGAAGCAGAGGTTGGCAGCTTTCAGCCTTAAGGATGATGCCGGAGGATGGTATAGGCTTCAATTCACCCCAGAGCAGTAGATGATACTTACTTGGGAAGACTTCATTTACTTTTTTGACGAGCAGTACATCTCTTTCACGGCAGGGGAACATGTCCGTAGCTGACTACGAGAGCAGATTCATGAGCTTGCTTCGATTCACGAGCATGTGGCAGACAGGAGAGTGTCAGGCTTAGATATTTCTGATGGGGCTTCGTCAAAGCCTTCGTCTCTACCTTGTTTCTAGACGATTCCATTCAGTACGAGAGGTAGCCGAC